GTGAATATTATATAGTAAGTTTTATTCAATTCCTTTTTGGGAAATATATATATATAGGTAACTAGAAGGTTATTTTAGTATCCGAATGAAACGAATTTTTTAAGTTGAAATTTCAACTTCTTAGACTTCTTTCTGCATATCATTAAATAAGGTTTTTGTAGCTTCTGTTTTTTTAATCTTTTTTCCTTCTTATTTTTGCTGCTGTTAAAAGCCTTCAAGTGATGTGTGTGTGAGCGTGTGTGCGCGTCTTTGTGTGTATGTGTATATATATATATATATATATATATATATATATATATATATATATATGAATGAAAGAACTTTTGCAAACTTTGGGTGCTTCTCACACCAAAACAGAGACAAAAGTCCATATAGATATATATCCGCAAATCTTGCGTTTTTTAGTTGTTAAGTTTAAAGAAAATTTGCGGTAGATGACACTGGGTTGCCATGTAGACTATGTTACATTTGTAATTCGTGTACATTTGTGGCTAGTATGTCTTCAGCATTTAACGTCTGTAGTAGTGAGTTAACTGAGAAGTCATCCATTTAACAATGGCAGGATATTTCTATCATGAACAGGCAGATATGATTTTTACATACGGCCGCGGCAATGGTAATGGACTGTTGTATCAGAATACGTTTCCAGACTCTAGGCAACCGAGCCATCCAACTTTTGCTGCTGTTTATCGTCTCATTGCTGAGACCGGATCTGTGGCACCACAACAGGCAAATACACGTCAACTATAAGCAAGATGAATTTTCATTTAGAAATATAACGATATACACTGCCCTAGTCGACCCGAACAAGAAAATTGAATTAATTATTTGTTACAAAAAATTTAAAACATCTAACCTTATCATCAAAAATAACAAGACACCTGCAAAATCCAAACTACAAATAACCAACATTATTTACGAGTTCAAATGACCCTTAAGGGACTGAGTTCCTGATCAAACCAAACTCAAGTAATTCCATCAGTCACACTACTACATGCCTATCTAGACGATTTATATTATACCTATCCGACCACAGCTCCATTTAAACTCATTTAAATACACACGAAAACATACCAGACTCCATCTGAAACATACTAGTAGAAAACACAAGCATACTAATCTTATTCAAAGGATTAAAAATAATAGAAGCCCTGATAATAAAAAAGAAAAAGCCAACACTCACTAACATTAACTAAGAACACGGTCACAATATTCTGATCGTGTTTGTAAAATAAAATACCCCAATAACTCTAGATATATATAAAACACAACCCATACATTGTGAATTTCTGAAAATTTCATCTCTTACTTTAAAAATAGCTCATTTTAAGGTATTTATTTTAAGACATGCAGGGTGACCTCGAACTTTTTACCTGTAGTTTAGGTCATGCGTTGTTTTCTTTGGTCCTTTTGTCTTCAATCCGTTCTGATAGTATCTATTTTTCCAAACCCTCTTTCATCATTCTGTACCCCAGAAATTTTAACTGCCTCTTTCCTATACTAAATATAAGAGTCTTTTTTTTTTGCTTCCATTTTGTCTAAAACATCGTCGTTGGTGACATGTTTGGACTATGGTATTCTTAGCGTTACTTTGTTACTTCAAATCTCCTCTTCATCTGTGAGATTATCCAGCGCTGACACTTTAAAGGACTGATATTTTACGTAACAGTTCAGTACTCTTCTCTTTGTTTTTAAGAAAATGTTCACGTTTCTTACGTTTCACTTTGCTCAACATTTGGAAGCCCTCATTCGCTATTCCAATGATCTTTCAGATTTCACACTGTTACCCATCTTCATCCACAAATTAACATTTGCAATCAAATTAAGATCAGAATCCATGAGAGATATGCCTACTGGAACATCCGGAAATTTATTATTATTTCTGTATGTTATGTTTCCAGTTTTGTAGCCTGTAGAGCCGGGTCCAATCTATGGTCCTTAGTCCCTATAGGTGAATTGTCATTTAATTGATAGCACGTTTCTTAGTATATGTGATGTTACTAGTAGGGCAATTTTCTGGGAAACTGATCTTTTCTGGGCAACTGATGACAATGCTGATGTTACCTGGGACACTGTTAGTAAAATTCTCTATTCCTTTTCTCACGAGATCCAGAGCTCCGATTATCATTGGTACAGTCTCAATCGTCATTCCACACATGCTGCTCATCTCAATTACTGTTATCTGTATTTTATTTCCTTTGATTTCTGGTGTGTACACATTTTTCTGGGTCTCGCCCAGAGACCTAAGGTTAGAAATGGCTTCATAACATTTTCCACTGACCAGTTAAAAAAAACAACACTCATAATTTACATAGATAAAGCCCTTCGTAAGTTGTGGGTGGTACTCTAGAGAACTTCTTTTTTCTTTTTTTTTTTTTGTATTTCTTTAAGGCATCGGCTTCCAGGAATCCTTTTAATGAGTCTACTAGAATCTTTTCCAACCAATCCGAGGCCTCCAACTACAACAGAAATTGTTGATGCTCCCATGTGCCACATTCTT